ATGGATTTTGTAGCCAGTTCAGTTAATATACACTACTACCCAGGCTTTCATTCCATTCTATTACTGAAATAAGAAATATTAGTTGTATGGGATTGTTTTGAATAATGAATAAAAAAATATAAAAATCTTTTTCAAATATAGCGGAATTTAGAGGAATTTAGAGTATTGATTAAAGAAATTAACTATATGGACACTGAGCATCTGGACACTTCCTAGCTAACCAGCCAAATAGAGAGGACCCATACTTTGAGTACTTTCACATTGCAAAGCTTGAACAAACTTTATGGGGATGCTAAAGTTGAGTGAAAAAGCAGAGTGCATGTGCTATATCTGCAATTTTTTTGGCATTTCTTTAGCTATAGTTAAGTCCTTTTGAAGTTATCCAGAATGGCTGATGTCTCTCTGAGTTGAAGATGACCTGTGTTTTGTAAAAAAAAAAAAAAAAAAAAAAAAAAAAAAAAAAGAAAGAAAGAAAGAAAGAAAGAAAGAAAAAGAAGTAATGTTTATAATGTATAAATTCAATAATAACATGAGTCAAACTAACTTGTAGAATAGGTATTATAATAATTCTACTTATTGGAGAATGTTAACAAGGTATGGCTTATTTTAAAAGTACCTCCTTATAACAAAAATTTAACTGGTTTTGATGTTCATGCTTAGTCTCATGCAGTTTGTGTATCCAAAGTGTTTGGAATCACTGTTTTTTATTTTTTATTTTATTTTATTATTATTATTATTATTATTATTATTATTATTATTATTTTTTTTTTTTCATTATTATTATTTTTTTAATCTATTCCATACAAAAAGGTTATAAGTAACAAGCACTGCTTTTTTCTGCCTTGACTGAAGAAACATCTGAAAGAAAATATAAGATATCATAAAATAAACAATAATTGTGATTAGTTAATAATTGAAGAAGTAGACATTTTATAGTTTCAATATCATATGTGATAATCATTCAAAAGACAAACTTATTTTTTCCTAATTTCTTAAAGAATCAAAGTAATTTGGCTCCATTTGTACATTTTTCTTCTTAGAAATGTATAGAGGTAGCTGAAAAGATTTTGTCAGCATATAAGACATTAGATAAAATGATTGACTTTGCCACAAATATTATTAGGTTGGCATGCATAGCTGGGAATTATCCATCCAAGAAATTAGAAAACATCCTGAACATTGATGTTTTCCCTGTGCTTCACTCTTCTAATAACAGTACAATTTTAGGTCTGGAATATGCGGACAAACTCTCGCTGGTCAGTACAAACGCTGGTGGGACACTCAGGGATGGTACGATGCCTCCACCTAGCTGGCAACCGCCTTGTGAGTGGTTCGGCTGATGCTACAATTAAGGTATGTAATGAAATTAGTGCAGTGCTAAATTTTAGGACTCCTCTTCATTTTTCCTTCATTGAATAGCACATTCATGCAACTTCGTAATAATTGTGACTGTATTCTGTATGATTCTTAACATATAAGGATGAAAAGTTTCTTGTTTTATATTTTGTTCTCTATCTAGTTGGAAGATAATGATGTAATTTTGCCTTCAGGTTTGGGGAAATGTGGAGGACAACAAGTTCAGTGGTCTCAATTAATTTGTCAAGTCCAAATGATNTATATATATATATATATATATATATATATATATCTGCTGGATACAAGATTACTGAAGATGCAAATCAGAGGATGTCATTTGAAAACAAATTTTTACATTATGGTAAATTCACATTATCAAACAAAGATTGACAACATCTTTAAGGTTACATATATTATGACAAATCTTTTTCCCCCTTTGGATCCAGGTGATGTGACCATCACCTCATGAAAAATTTGGCTACGGGCCAATGCGCCAAGAATATCTCTTGGAGAATGATCAGACTCCATGGGCATTTAGGAATGGGCTTTTTGCATTATTTCCATCCTTACTGGTAGCACAGGGTGAATTAATGAAAATTGGATATTACAAAAATAACAATATTACAGGACAAAATGTTACTTAATGTTAATGTTATCGCACAGAATTATAGCCAACCGAGAGAGATAATATGGAATCTGAACAAGGAAAAGTCATTTACCATCTAGATTCAGCAAATCAAATGACATTAAAAACTGACAAAAAAGCAACTAGTGCATCTGTAGAAAATTAGGCAACACTGCAATTGCAAGGCAAGGAGTCTTCACAACACACAAGTGTTCATGTGTGCTTATGTAATATAGAATTTTGACCCCCATAGAAAAATGACTCAAGGAACTATTTTATTGGAACTTAATCCATTGGTCAATTTTCTAGTAGAGAGAAATGTCCAACAACAGAATAGAGAGCGAGCGAGAGGGAGATCTAGTAGCAAGATGGGGGGGGGGNTTCATCTCCTCCCCCTCCCCCTTCCTCCAACCTCCTCCTTCTTTCACCTCCCCTTCCTTCTCTTCCTCCTTTACCTCCCCTTCCTCTCCTCCTTCTCCTCTCGTCCCCCTCCCCTTCCTCCACCTCCTCCTCTTTTTC